TACGTTCCACAATTTCAAATGGCCCAAAAAATCTCGCCGACAATTTCTGATTGATACGGCTTACCACCGATAATTGGCGATAAGGACGAAGCTTCACATAAACCAACTCCCCAACCTGGAACTCCACCTCACGGCGTTTCTTATCAGCCTGGGCTTTCATCCATGATTGAGCGCGTAACAAATGAGCCCTTAATTGCTTTAAGGCCTCATCACGATCCTTCAAATCTAACAGGACATCCTCGACACGTACCTCACCCGGAATAAACTGGCATACGTTAGGCGGTTTACGACCGTAAACAACCTCGAAAGGTGAGACCCCCGTAGAATCATGAAATGTCGTGTTGTACCAGAATTTTGCCCACGGTATCCATAATGACCACGAGTGTGGTTGATCCACCGCAAAGCAACGTAAATACGACTCCAAACAGCGGTTAACCACCTCGGTTTGCCCATCGGACTCCGGATGGTAAGAAGAACTCATGTGCAAACGAGTACCTTGCAAACGGAATAGTTCCTGCCAAAAATGACTCATAAAGATGGGATCACGATCACTAACAAGTAACAATTGACTTTGGAATACCGTGTAAGCGAACAATTTCTTTGACAAAAATGTCCGCTACATGTCGTGCGGTATAAGGGTGTTTTAACAAGACGAAGTGGCTGTATTTTGAAAGCCTGTCCACCACATCTAACAGAGCATCAAATCCCTTTGACTTAGGCAATCCCAGGATAAAATCCATGGACAAATGTTCCCAAATCGCCTCCGGAATGGCTAACGGTTGTAATAGACCCACTGGAGTAAGGGAGCTGGTTTTACAACGTTGACAAATGTCACACGCTTGAACAAAACRTTGGACTGCCGAGCTCATACCGGGCCAATATAAATTGGCAGCTAGTCGACGATAAGTGCGATAATACCCGGAGTGACCGCCGGTGGCAGATTTGTGAAACTCCGCTAATAATTCCGGAATCCACTTGGAATTCCGAGGGATAACCAAATGACCTTTATAATAGAGAATTCCCGAACGCACTTCGTAACCGGGAATTGCTCCCGGTTGCCGTTGGCATGAATGTATCAATTTTTGAAGGTCCGGGTCAGATTTTGCTTCCTCCAACAGTTGTGCTCCTTGGACCCACACTGGTTGATACACCATGGAAGTGAACAATTCGCCGTAATCGTCCCGCCTGGACAGAGCATCAGCTGCCCGGTTCTCTCGTCCCGCCTTATAACAGATATCAAAGTGATACCCAAGTAATTTGGCAACCCAATTTTGTTGATCCGGAGTAGTAATACGTTGCTGTAAGAGATGTTTCAAACTTTTATGATCGGTATAGACCGTAAAAGTTGTGCCCAAAAGATAGTTCCTCCAATGTTGAACCGCCAAAGCTAGCGCCATGATTTCGCGTTCGTACGCGGATTTTGACAGATTTCGATTTGTTAAAGCCTTACTAAAAAAAGCAATTGGGCGGCGGTGTTGCATCAAAACAGCCCCGATTCCACACCCGGAGGCGTCACATTCCACCACAAAAGGAACCGAGAAGTCAGGAAGCGCGAGGACAGGGGCTGAAGTAACGGCGTGTTTTAGGCTGTCAAACGACCGTTGAGTATGTTCATCCCAATGAAAATTGTVCCGCTTTGTCAACTCCGTAAGAGGTTTGGCAATAGCGCCATAATTGCGAACGAATTTCCGATAGTAACCCGTTAACCCCAAAAATCCGCGTACGCCTTTTACTTGTTTAGGAACCGGCCAATCTCTCACCGCTTGCACCTTTTTGGGATCCATTGACACACCGTCTCCATCAATGATGTGTCCCAAATATTCGACCGATTTCTGTCCAAACGAGCACTTCTTTTGATTGACCACAAAGCGGGGGGAAACCAACGTTGTCAACGTCAAAGCCAAGTCTAACAAGTGTTGTTCCCATGATGGGCTATACACTAAGATATCGTCAAAAAACACGACGATACACTTACGTAGATGAGGTCGGAAAATGTCGTTCATAATTGCTTGAAAGGTTGCGGGGGCGTTAGTGAGCCCGAAAGGCATTACGAGGTACTCGTAATGGCCATCATGCGTCCGAAACGCTGTTTTCTCCACACTATCGGGCCGCATCCGAATCTGATTGTAACCGGATTTGAGATCCAGTTTGGAGAAAAACTTGGTACCTCGGAGCTCGTCGATTAATTCATCTACTACTGGAATCGGATGTTTATCCGGAATAGTGGCTTTGTTCAAAGCTCGATAATCGACACACATACGCCAAGTCTGGTCCTTCTTCCGTACCAAGATTACAGGGCTGGAAAAAGAATTGTTGCTTGGTCGAATAACCCCCAAAGTCAGCATCTCCTGAATCTGGCGTTCAATTTCGGCCTTATGAGCATGCGGATATCGATACGGCCGAACACATACAGGCCCGTGATTTGGAACGAGATTGATAGCGTGATCTCGAGACCGAACCGGTGGTAACCCCGACAGTTCCTCAAACACCGGAGCAAACTTATCAAAAAATTTCAACAGTTCTTGTGACTGTTGTGACAACAAGGTTGGCTCCATGTCTGCCAACTGCTGTCCTTCAGTTAAGCACAATGAGGGATGAGCTTCCGTTAACCAGCTGTGTAACGAAGCCCGTGCTCGAGAATGCAACGATGTACCTGATAAACAGACCTCTTTACCCTTATACATGAACCGCATCGTGTGAGCCTCCCAATTATGGACGACATCTCCCAAGGTTTGTAGCCAATCGATCCCTAACACCATATCTAGGTCACCCATTTCGAACAACAGGGCGTCGACCTCGAACTCGCAATTCCCCAGCACAATTGGAAGACCTTCACACCGTTGAGTCACCAAAACCTTGTGTTCATCGCCAAGTTTAACTCGCAGCCCCGTAAACTTCTGTACCGCCAAATCTAAAGCGACTGTAAGTTTTCTGGAGATAAAATTGTGGGTTGCCCCACTGTCGACTAGATAAACTTCTGTACCGCCAAATCTAAAGCGTCCATTCGGGTTTGAAAACGTGTCTCCATTGGAAATCCGGCAGGTCGGACCAATGATAAGAAATAAACGAATTGGAGGAAACTGGCTAATTGATTGTATTGAAGGGAAAGAAAAATACAGGAAAAAGAACAAGACGTCTTACTAACCTCAAAGGATTCCAGGGAAGACTCCCTTCTCTAACAACTTAGAGCCCAAGAAATGGAAATCATTATTTTCTGCATACCCCTCATGGAAGAAGGCACTGCTTATTTAAAACCGATAAACGTAACAAACTCCTTAATGGGCCTTGGGCCTCCTGGAATACACTTTCCACACATTGGGCTTAAACACACTAGTTGGGCCAAGACTAAGATTATTCTCATTCGTATCACTTTGCTGTATGCAGCAAAGATAATATCTATGATCTTCTACTTACTCACAAGCAAGGTTCTCTTCCACAATAATTGATATTTCAACTGAAGATTTGAGTTAGAAAATAATGATAGAATTGAAGATTAAAGATTAGCACGAAATAGATGCATAGGTTAAAGCAGGAAAATGAAGTAGTTTGTCTCGATATGGGAAGAGGGATTTAGTCTAGATGTCAAATCTATCACAATCTTTCTCTAGTCCACTTCCAGTTTAGCAATTAAAAGGTTTGGGAAAAGATATTCTACTTTGGCCTAAGCATAGTCAGTGTGAATTCAGCCTTTGCACTTAAATTACTTTGCTGCATGGGTGGTGGAACAACAAATAAACTATACATGGTATGATAGATGACACGAAGAGATCTATTGCTTAAATATAATGGGGTTTGTTAGGAAAGCCATGTAACTTAAGCTATTACATTGATCGTTTAAACAAACAACCTAATTACAGATGTTAAGAGAAAGAAAGATTAAAACCCTAGTTTTATCTCTTTCTTAAAAGTTATTCCTGCTAACATTCTGCCACAAGCACCAATTGTGGCCATATAGGGTGTTCATGAAGGAGTATTGGACAAGCTGAAGGAGATGTAGGATACAGTCTTCTGCATGAGGAACTACTCCATATATTATTCCATTATTGTAAATCAGTCCCGTTGTCAAACAATTCTTCTTGGTGCAAAAATACTCCATCTCCATCTCCATCTTCGGCATATGAATACCCTGGAGATCTTCTAGGCCTATATTGCTCGCTCTAATTTATATCAACACTCCTTCATTCTTCTTATCCAACATAGTTGGACAAGTACATGGGCACACTTCATCTTTTTGGGACCTGGGTGTATATATACACCAAGACCTTTTGTATTAGAGCTTAGATTATGCTGGACTATAAAGGTTGGAAGATCTGGCCAAAAAAGGTGATAGCCCAGTAGATTCGTTCCCATGGTTTGATCCCGTCCCGGAATCAGGACCCCCCTTTCCTTGAGTCTGACCCTTGTATTGGAGCATATGATTACACAAACTTGTAACCTTAGTTTTTGTTCCATATGCAAAAGGTATGCAACTTCCCATCTAGCCAATAATTTAGTCAAACATCTATTGCTGAAAACTCATCAAGGCATTATTGCACATAAAAATAATGTCTTAGGTCTGATATTTTGACGGGGGCTCTTCTTTCTTTTTGTTGTATGCATTTTCTTTGGCTTATTAAATTGTAATTGATACTGAAAGTTCTGTAGTATGCTTCTTTTAGAGCTAAAACTTAAAACATTGACTTTTATGCAGATGAACTTGTTGCTTCGCATAGCCCATCCTTCTGATAATTCTATAAAGCCTGTTGGTGAAAGGCATTATCTTGATCCAATGGAAACATTAGAAGATATGTTTGATTGGTTAGCTGTATTGTGGCAACGAGGCCTTTGCCATGATAATCCTCAAGGCAAGTGATATGTCCATTCATATATAGTCATTGCAGAATCGGCTTCCTATAAACTATCATTAGTGCGCCTGGTAACTTTATGTATGTTGCTTCAATGTTTCTTGTTATATCCGCAGTAAGGTGCTTGATCATGCAGTCAGTTTTCGGGATAGAATGGAAGAACCATGGAAATTATGCGAAATTTGTGCCTAGAGATTTTGTACTTGGTCCCTTCATACAAGGGCTGAATGATCCTGTACACCACAAAGAATTTGGTACGCTCTCTATTATTCTCTATCAGCCTTCCATAGCATTTGACTTTCAAGCTAAAATGGAGTATACATATGACACATTAGGGCCGTGGGCACTCGATTCTATGTGAACATGACTCACCCTCTAGTGCGGTCATAGTTGAAATAATTCGCAGTTGATGCTTGATTCTTCTTAACAATTCGTGAACATGACTCGATTCTTCTTATGTGAACGTGGCTCGATTCTTCTTAACAATTCGTAGTTGATGCTTGACTCACCTATAAGTATTCAAGGTATCAACTTAAACAACTGGAAATAACAGGACATCATTGATATGATCTAACTAATACTTTATCCTAGCCATGAATGACACAAAACAAAATTGCTTACATTTGCCAATTATTAAGCATGCCACACATAAAGAAAGGTAGGCTGGCATCACTCAAGAGCGACCTCAAGAGGCCTGGGCTGTATGAATCTTGGTGGTTGTCATAACCAAGACAGTTTAATTAGCGGTCCTAGAAGCAGAATTTTGCATGCTCATTTTATTGACAATATTCGCAGATTCACTGCCTGGTGCCATTCAATACTTTTTCTGGTGATGTAAAAGTTCAAACGTGTTCTATTCATGCTTCTTGTCTCTTTTATGCTCCACTATCTCACATTTAGTGTGCTAGAAATAGTTTCCAGTATGGACGTTTTCTGTTCTATATTCGTAAGTGTTTGTGAAATATAGTTGGTTAACCAATACTGAACTCCGTGTGAAATATATGGTTGCATCTTTGTACTTGTGGCACGGTAATTGTATTAGAAGTCATTTAGAAATTCTCATTTATTGCTCTACAAATATATTTTTGTTTTGTACCGATTTTAACATATTTTTCAATTATTGAGGAGACAGATGATGGCATCAGTGAGGAGGATAGAAAATATGACGGTCAAGGGGGGTGAGGAGGAGGGGCCTGCCAAGGAGAACCAGGGAGGGAGTAGCTGAGGAGGGACATGTAAGGCTTAGATATTTTCGAGGACATGACTTTTGACAAGAGCGGTTGGAGACATAGGTGTAGGGTAGGTGACTATGTGGGAGGACATGTTGCTAATATGGACATGAGGAGGGGAGTTGGAAGATGTTATAGAGGGTGGGCAAAGTGGGGAGGGGTGGAGAGGTGGAACTTAGGTTACTAGAGTCTTATGTTAAATAGAGAGTTGCTTTAGTTTTACGTACTTTTCATGTCTTATTTATGCCATTCTTGTTTTTTTCTTTCTTTCTACTTTTACTTATTTTCTTCGTCTTCAGTAGTTATCACTACTGCGTCTTGTGATTCCCTGTTTGTTTTATCTTATGTCTCTACTTCCTTCTTTGCTCACTGTACCTGTTGTATGTTTGCACACACTCCTATGCTACTTTTCTCACATGTCTCCTGGTATTTTTGTTTTTATTTTACAAGCCGGGCATCTTCACAGAATTAGCCTCTCCACTCTTTGAGGTTGAGGCAAGGTCTGTACGTCCTACCTCTGTGTGGGAAATATTGGGTTCGTTTGGTTTACCAACTATTGATTTCCTCCATCTGTTGTTGAATTTCTCTAGGACTAAAAGGAGCCTACTCTTCAAGGACAATTGATGGGGCTAGCACATTTTTGCAGCAATATACCGTTTGCCTTAGTGAAAGGTAATTTTCCTTTCAGAAGCAAAAAGTAGTCCTTTATGCTGTGATATGTCATTTACTTTATTTCTATTTTCTTCTATTGTAGTTGACTATTGCAAAAATTGCTGAGCATCTACTCGTTTGCGCCATTGACTTGGATGAACAATAATCTTACTTATAAACAATATATTCGGCATTATTACTAGTGCAATGATATCAAAGTCAAGAAATCTCTGTTAGGTCTATGTTCTCCCTAACAAATAGCCATCACAATCTAGAAGGCTAAATAGGCAAAAAGAATTTGCTTTTAGCGTGTTTTTGTCATGATTCCTAATGGAACGCTAAAACTTTAGCAATATTAAATTTTCCATTGAGGGATCAAATAAGGTTTCAAGATGAAATCTTGTGATCGCTCCTTTTGAAATTGGATGCCACAAAGTATCTACTAATTTAGGTTCCGATGCTACTTGATGAAAATTGTTATTCAGGCTTCTGTGAAAAGCTGGATAAAGTGAAGTACTTCTATGTCCAAAGGTTCTATGATGCACTCTAATCCTTTTCGAGTTTGTGATCAATGTATATGCCCTTTAGCAAAGAATAGCCTTTCTCATGCATTTAAATTTTGTCCAAGGAGCCACTATTGTCATGTCGATGAAGGATCGTGTGAGAATAGGAGTTAAGGTGAGAAGTGTAAGAAGGGATCTGGACCCTTGATCACTTTTAGTTAGTGTTAATCTAATTGTTCAGATTAAAAATAACCCATGAATTAGCTTGGAAGGGTATTTTCAATTAGTTGATCCAAGGGTGGAGATCCCTTCTTACCCTTCTCACGATAATTACTATTCTTACCGGGAACCAACTCGCGTCATGTCAGCATATTATATTGATGAGAAATGGATGGCAGATCTTCAAGATTTGTTCTATACGATATCCAACATGAACTGATGGAGGATCTGCCTCTCTTTTAATATTTTTGTTTTGTTAATGTATCAAGAAACAATTGCAGAAAGAGGATTCTTGGTATGTAGGCAAAGGCATCTGATTCTTATCATCGTTAATGGCATTTGATAAAACATTTAAATTCAAAACATGATGTGTATGCGAGTTTAACGTAATAAGGTGAATTGACGTCTCTGCACCTTTTCCTTTTCAACAAGGTTAAACTGCACATAAAATCATTATTGGGGTGTGGGAAGTTAAAATAAGTTAGTGATGTACTGACGTCTCAGGGAACAGATGACACTGTTGAGCAATCTAGCATCTCTTGTAAAGATATACTCTTTTGGTCGAGCTGGGCTGATGAGTTTTGCTGAATGTGTTGCTGCTGCTGCGGCTGCTGGAGTTCGGACACATAGCAAGAATGAAGTGGAACAGTGTGATGAAGCTTCCTCTGAGATGAAATCTGCCGTAGATAGTACTTACAATGATAAAGCGACATTGCTTGATGTTTTCAGATTTATCATTGAGAGCAGCAAACAACATTTTAATCCTAATTATCGTCTTAAAGGTTGAAGATATTTCATATGATACTTATATTTTTTTTATTCATGGAGTATCTGTGCAGAAACATGTAGATTCTTCTGACAGTTGTTACCTAAACTATTACTGCCAGTGTGTGGAAAGATTCTGGATGCTAGTGCTTCGGTAATGTCCTCATCAGATGTGCTGCTCGAGCCCCTTCTGCACTTTATTTCATCTTTCCCTCCGGACTTCCTTAACTATGGTGGTAAGCGCTCATGTAATTCATGAAGTTATGTTATTTGTTATTCGTACTTTACAATCATTTATTTCATTCTGTTTGTCTATATTTTGTATGTATGCATCACTCTACTTTTTTTATTGCCACTCTTTTGTAGGTCCATTAAGAGAAAAAGTGCAGGAATGGCTTCGAGGTTATGAAAAGCAAGCTTCTACATCTTGCATTATTGATACCAAACTCATGAAAAAGCTTAATGAATTTCCCAGAAGCTTTATATATCATAATCACTCAGGGAATGATATTGTCAATTATGATGATGAAGACTTGGAAATGTGGGAGCTTAAAGCGAAAAGATGGGCAAGGGCACTGTTCCTTATAGTCAAGGAGGAGCATCATCTGGATTCTCTATTGCAGGTATTTTTTTGGTGGCTTTTATAGTTGATATTTATCATAACCATTTTCCCACAATTGAGAAAAGTATCATATGAAGCATTGATAATAATGGCGTACTAAAAAGTGTAACTTCCCGTTACATTTTTCATTTGGTATACCTTCTTGAATGCTACCTTATTATTTATAAATGATAAAGTTATAGTAGACCCTATAGGTTAAGAACATTCAGAATGACTTTTAATCGCATCTAAATGCTGGAAGTTTACTTCTTTGATTTTGTTTCTGTTACCTTCCTGACTTTGTCAATGAATGCCTCACAGCTGATGAATTTGCTTGGCTTCAGACTGATAATGGAGTTTAGGTTCAAACAACCCAAAACGTTCTTATAACTGCTTTCTATTAATGCATGCATGGTGCATTGAGTTGATATCTTGGCCACTTGTTTATGGATTTTAAGTATATATGGTTTTATAACAACCACAGAACTACCTCAGTTCTGACCGTCATGCAAAATATTTACAAAATTTTATGGAATTACACCTCTATGATGCTATATCATTCAATGATTATTGAGGTTCTTTGTGTTTGACATTGCCTCTTAGTCATAGGCATAACATAGAAGATCGTGTACTTATGTAGATCGAGCAGCTTTCCGAAGTGATATTAAAGGCTTGTCTACCAAGCTATTATACTGTCCAGTGAGGAGTCATAAACTTGTGATCCAGTGTGCTATTCGTTTAGTGGTCCAATCTATTAATTTCAATTGTATCTATAGGTATGGTAAACTAGGTTCCTATCTATGCTGTTATAGCGGTCAAAATACCAAAATACAAAATAGCGGTCAGGACCGATATTTGAAATAGCGGTTATGGCGGTGGTATAGCAGTCCAAAAATAGCAGTTCATATAATATTTCTTAATATATATATATATATATATAAAATATGTATGCATACATAAACATATCATATGCATTAATTAAAAATACAGTTTTAACATCAAAACATCAACTTAACAAGTTTCACAAAAACAAAATAGGGAAAGTGTTCATAAACGACTTCTTCCAAGAGTGGAAGAAGCTGTCGAACGTGGAAAAACCTACGATTTCCTTCCAAGTTCCAACTTTGGTTGATGATAGAAAGAAAATTATTGTTAATTGTTATACTGTTATGTTAACGGATTAAAATTAAAACATAGCCCCAACCAAAATAAAAAGCCCAACTGCCTAAGTCAAAGACTAAAAAATAAAGCCCCAAAAAAACCCCAAACTGAATAGCGCTATTGCAGACCACAATTTGCCCCTAAATGTCGGTCAAATTGCGGTAAATTGTGCCGATATTAGCGGCACCGCTATTTACACCACTATTTGACCACTGATATTTTGCATAGCTCCAATATCCGATATTGGGCCTATAGGTTTCTATACAGGTTGCCAGAGTTTCCCATTGTTATGACATGTCGTAATTTTCTTCTTGAAGGCCGTTTTGACCTTTTATTCTCATTGGAGACATGATCCCGCTAGCTTCCTTGCTGTATAGAATGCCTAAATCTCATAGGAGATATTTTAGGTACACTATATGGTTTATAAGATCAAGCAATGCAACTTAGAATTTTAATTATGTTTGATTAAGATTGTATGCCATGGTTTCTCATCTTTCATCATATTAAAGTCGAGGGTTAGTTCTTGCGAACATGGCTGATCTGAGTTCATTCATATTAGTTTGCTTTGAATCTACCGGTTGATTTTAAAGTTCCGTGCACCAAGTGCCTTGTTTTCTTCATCATAAGTTATTGCTTATTAATTTTTTAATCGGCTTCACTCATTGTCTACTTGTTTGTGCAGTTTATTCGAACACATGGCAATGAGCTCTGCAAGAAGATTGGTTACTGGGAGTGGTTACCAGTAAAATATATGATTCTCATCTTGGGTATTGCTCAAGAACTCCACGAAATGAAAAACAGAACAGTTGATAGTCATGCAAAAAGAAGAACCAAGGGTTTGCTTGAAGTAGTGGATCATGCAGAGTCTATGGGTGGTTCCGTGATTATTAAGAAGTTCACTAGATCCTTCACCTTCATATTGGTATAAATTGTTGACAGGGGATCTATATTCTACTCAACTAGACACTAATGGGTAATGTGAGTTATTAATATGCGTTTTATGCAGGAGGAGCTGGTGTCATATACCAATCAGTCATGTTCTGTTTTCTGGTCTGAGGAGGCTGGGGACACAACTCTGCCTTCATCCATTAAAGGGAGGCTAGGAGGGCTTAGTCAGCGACGATTGTCATCTTCTAACACAACGGCTGTATTGCAAGCTGTAGGGTTTCAGATATACTCTATTTCTTTAATAATTTTGTTGCTTTAAAATGGAGGTTAAACGAAAATTTTTGTGTCCTGTTTTCTTTTCACAATTTGGTTATCCATCCATGTTAATGATGAGGAAGCACCATTGTTTGATTTCTGATGAAAATGTTAATTCTCGAGTCAGTTAATATTCAACATTAAAGTCATCTCGATATTCTGAAGGCACATAACAATAATGGATAAATTCCAATGATATGATTGAACCATGGTGGTTTTATAACTACTTTTTTTGCAAGCTGTATGCTATATAATATTCTCTAGTGGTCTCATTGCTTCAGAGTGAACGTTAATGATAAACGCTTTGGTCCTGTTTCTTTTACAATTTGTTTATTCATCTAAGTCAATGCAAGGAAGTGCCATTGTTTGATTCCTAATGGAAACACAAATGCTCGAGTCAGTTGATATTTAAATTTAAAATTATCTATATATTCTGAGACCCGCGATGATGTTAGACAAATTCCAATGATATAATTGAACCATTTCTTCTAATCGTAGTCCTCATGGATTATTCTTGTTTATTTGCTGCATACAGATAACGTCAGTCAAGACTCTTGCATCTATCTCTTCGTATTGTTCACAATTTCAAGAAGAAGAGTATTTGAGTTCTACTTCTACTCTCGATGTTCTCTGGCAACTCTCCTGGAAGATTATATCTTGCACACCATGTACCTCAGAGGTATCTTTTTGTTATAGTACTTTAGCTTTGTAAAGGTGTCATGAAGTTTTCGATGAGAACCGAGTTTCTTATAGCTCACTCTAAACTAATTCATATATTGTTCTGTTGCAGACTAAAGCAGAAATCTACCTAGGAGCATATGAAGCATTACATCATGTTCTGAAGTCACTAGTGTCTATGCCTTCTCCTTCAGCTTTAGCTCTATTAACGAGACCATATAACTTATCAGCACCAGAAGCTGAAGTCAAACCTCATATGGATTACTTTGTTCAGATATATATAGAGAACATCAATAATCTCATTGAGGCAGGATATTTGGCACGCGCACGGCGAGCAATATTAATTGACTGGAAGGTGAACATTTACGGTATTGAGAATTTGTAGCTGTGACTTTTACTTTTATTGTTTTCCCTGTACTATTGCACTACACTGCCTTGAATCTGTTTGTGTGACTGAAGATATTGAAGGATGCATTTTCTTTTCTACTTTTTAGTAATTTTAACCAAATAACTGGATTTATCATGTTTTATGTTTAGTACTATGGACTTACTAGGATATGTTTGTGATTGATTCAGTGGATGTGCCTGGAATCTCTACTGTTGATACCAAAGTATGCTCTTCAAAGAGGAGTTTACATACAGAATTGCGACGTTTTCTTCTCAGATGCTGTGATCAGAAGGATATTCAGTGATTTAGTCGACAGGTAAGAGAGCCATAAGAAGAGTAGAAGACTTACCTGTGAATCATTCTGTATTGTGTATACAAAATCAATCTGCACATGTGTCTGGTATAGTGGCTAGCATCTGATTTTTTGGTTTATTTAGAGTGTGGGACGAGACTAATAGATTCAAGCATAACTTTCTTTTCAGCTTAATATATACAACTTTCATTTTGCAATCTGAAACTGATTAGAAGTTGTTTTTTGAGGCATATTTTATTAAATCCTGTAACCCTGAACTGTAATTACTCAGGATTGTATGTTTCCATTGTCTTAATTCTCGACAGGTGGTGAAGTCATGTTTTCTTTTACTTGTAAAAAAGTAAAACTTTATGTGGAAGTTAAGATGCCTGACATTTTCCCTCTTCAATTAATTTACAGCCTTGAAAATGCTGGTGAAGGTTCTGTTTTGCCCATGCTAAGATCTGTCAGACTTGTGTTGGACTTTTTTGCTTTAGGACACAAAGGTTCAGCTGTTTCCTCATGTGATGGCATTGATGTCCAGGTTCACCCAAACCTTCTCAAATTGTTTCTAATGAATAATCTGCATCTTGGCCAAGCTAATAGCTAAATGCTTGAAGTGTGTCCGTAATTTCTTTTTTAATGGTCATGGGTGATTAAAATCTATAATGCATATCATAAGATTTCTACCTGAAGTTTCACCTTTACAGATGCCTGAAGCACATAGCTCTTTATGATATGTATAATATGTCTTGTAACTTTTGTAGGGAAAGTTCTAGTATGTAAAGCATATTAATTCACCAAAAAGGAGAAAGATAAGTAGGAAAACGTGGTATCTTGAAAAAGATGGATACAGTATTTATATATCAATAATCGTGTTTGAGCGCTGACCTTTATAGAGTTAAGTATCATCGTAGAGTTCTTTTTTACATTGCAAGGGATGATTATCCTATTTATGAGGCTCATGTGTTGCAAGCTGCAAAAATCCCGATATGTAGCTTTGTCCCGACAACCGGAGGTCGACTCTTTTTTTGGCGGCTTTGTGAAGTATTGTCTGTAAACACATCAAGACGTACTAGTTACAGGTGACAGCGAAAATTCTTGTAGATGGGTCTTGTGGGATGTAAAAATACACGGCAAGGGAGCATTCCGTCTTAGAGTGAAGCACCCGCGAGCGGTAGTGGACGAAGTGGAAGTGAGAATGTCGGCTTAACCATTTCTTTGTATTCTGATCACCTGAGGAAAGAGTGATCTTGTTGTTTCTTCAACAATTTCTGATCTCTAGTGCACCTCTATGTAGGATTCAAACCCAATCCTCATTTATCTGGTGCCATGTCATCTCATACTGAGCATTTCTTATCATCTTGTTGAATTTTAGTTTCTACCTTCCCAATTCCGATTCCCTGTGGTTTTGTCAAGTGGTAAATGCTTATGCTGCCTGTTCTTGCTTGAAAAGTTGTTACTTCCTGCCATTGACTCATGCCACATTACTGCAGATGTAGCTTTAGTTTTCAGATGCCTTTTTTTTTACCAACATCTAATTGGTAGGGACCTTAATTTACTGTATGTGCATAAGTTACAAACTTCCATGAGATGTTTTTGTCACTTGTGAAGAATGAACAAGTGTATATGGCATTGATAGTTGTTGCTAAAAGAAAATGGACACTGCTACAGGTGAAGTGGGATCTGTACTAATGCTATCACTTGATCCGATAGGTTTCACTAAATCACATTTTTATATGAGATGGCTGAAAATTCACTTCTTCCTTCTCTATTGCAGATGATGTGGCATTTGGTTCGTTGTTCTTGGCTATTACATGTCAGCTGTAACAAACGAAGGGTTGCACCTATTGCAGCACTTTTATCTTCCGTTTTGCATGATTCAGTCTTCAGTGATATGGACATGCATGAATCTGATGATACCCCAGGGCCTTTGAAGTGGGTATGTAGTAACTTCTGCTCCAGTCCCCACTTGTCTACATAGAGAACTTAAATATGTATGTATGCATATAAACATGAACTGATATATGTTTATATATGCTTATACATACACACACAATAATTTATTAATGCATGGGAGGATGACTACATAGCTCATGATTGGCTATTTCTGTATGTGTAGTTCTTGACGCCCCAGTATAATGAAACAAACTTAACTGCTGGATACACATACTTATGCTGTTCTAATACAGCTATCTGCTTCTGTTGAATAAAACTTGGTACCGATTATGATTTTGCTCTATTTTAACATCTTTCTGTAGTTCGTTGAGAAAATTCTAGAAGAAGGAACAAGAAGTCCACGTACTATTCGTCTTGCAGCATTACATTTGTCAGGGCTATGGCTCTCACATCCCAGTGCAATAAAGTACTACATGAAGGAGTTGAAGCTGTTGACTCTTTATGGTTCTGGTACATCCATTTGATGAATACCCTTTTCTTCAAGCTGTTGCTTATTTATTGAATTATGCTATCCTTGATGAAGCGGCTGCAGCTGCTGCATGCCTTCTAATTTTTCGTTCTTTGTTTTTCTTGTTACTAGGATAATAGTATATCTAATGATTGTATGATTTGAGTTTTTAACCAGTTGCATTCGATGAGGATTTTGAAGCTGAAGTGACTGAAAATCATGATGCAAGGACTGAAGTATCAATCTTATCAACAAGTCCTGATCCGGAGTTAACTGAGGTGGGTGGTTCAAATCTCATACGAGGCACTTGTTTTGCATTTTCGTAAACAACAGTATAAAATTAAATACTGCATGCTTTTCTCAAAGGGTTCATGAAGATACTTGACCACGATAATCGTAAATTCTGCTTGTTGTTTTCTCTTAGGTTCAGCATGAACACCCATAACTGCCCAACATGACCAGATGATCTCATTTTCACTTAATTATTGAGCAATGCACAATACCGACATGCATATCTTACCTTTTCTCATGCATAACTGAACAATTTTGATTCTTATCACAATGGTCAAATGTTCAATTAGTCTTGGGTACAGTAGGTAAGATTTGTGATTCTATTCTATGTAATGTTGAGTTTCATCATTAGGAATTCATCAACACGGAGCTTTATGCAAGGGTGTCTGTTGCTGTTATGTTCAACAAGCTAGCAGATTTGGCTGATATGGTGGGCTCAAAAGATGAAGCTGAAAGCAGTCACGCTTCCCTGCAATCTGGCAAACTGTTTTTGCTTGAGCTCTTCCATTCTGTGGTAATTGATTTATTTAACTATCACATGAGTTTATGGTCTTAAAATGTTGAATTGGTTAAGAGCCGAGGATTGAACTATTCTCTGCTAGCAAACTCTGTTCACTTTTAGGAATCTCCTTTTAGATTAAGACATCTTATGGTTTTGGTAGGCATTGAAATTGGAATGTCATAGGGACTTAACTTCATCCGTGTTATCCACAGAGTACTTTGGACCATTCTTCTGGTTATTGTTTGATGTGTTCTGTTTCCGCCATTTTTACACTGCAGATAGCTGATTCTGATGAGTTCAAATGCAGGTTAATGACACTGACCTTGCAAAGGAGTTGTATAAAAAGTACAGTGCGGTTAGTTTCTATCCTTCTCCTTGCCCCTTCAGGAAGATCCCTATGACTGTAGTCTGAATATTGTTGGCTAGGGTGATTTCTTTTTTACTCTTGTTAATTTGTCTTCTGTTAGTCTTAAATTTATCATGTTCCACTGGTGCATCTTCATGGCATATTTTACTACACGTATCTAATGCATATCAGGTGTAATAAGCTTGAATTTTTCAATTCTTGCAATCATTAAAGGTGTATGCATGAAAGGCCATTCCACAATAGAAAGTGTGCACAACATCTATTGTGTAACAGCAAGGTTCCGTAGCACACCATGAAGAAAAATTTGGATATTTCAAACAAAATCCATCAAATGCAAAAGAGCCTCTTGATATTCACTTTATATTATGAACTTCAAAAGTACCCTTATGCAATATCATCGTCCTCTCTCTTATCTACTGTAGCTTCAAAAGTCAAATGGCCTTTAAAATTAAATTAGTTTTCATTTCACCAAGACATTTATCCGGTGGTGCTAGGGGTAGTCAAATGGTCTTTAGAAGTTTCGTGTGTGCTTGCATTTGTACTTCATGCTTGCATTTGTACTTCATGCTTGCATTTGTACTTCAGAGACTTTTGTTCATAGTTTTAAATCATAACTTTTTGTACGACATGTGCCCTATAGTGTAGAAATTTTTTAGCATCTAACAAATATTTTGTAGGCATCCTAGCTTTCTGTAAGTATTCTTGCTTTGAACTTTTCATTTTCCTTATTGTATTCTAATTGCCATTGTCTTGATTCTTTTCTTAATTCTCTCTGGCAGACTCATAGGCGGAAAGTTCGTGCTTGGCAAATGATTTGTATATTATCGCGATTTGTTGATCAAGAAATAGTATCTGAGGTTATGTGTCACTTGCATACAGCCCTTTATGTAAGATGATACTTCCCTAATATTAACAAGTGGCTTCTTTGGGAAAAGATATTCTGCACTAAACTTCTATCTTGGTGTAGTATTGCCATTCTTTCTAGAACATTGGACCTATTGTTTGATCAATAAATTGCATTATCCTTTATGCTTATTGAAGTGGAATTGTTCATTACAACAGATTTCACCTTTCGTAACTAATGATTTTCTTTTATTTCTTCACTGATATCACTCCTCCCATTCGGCCCTTGCGATTATTTACATACATTAATCTATGGACTGCACATGGTGGTTATTCATGAATTATCAACTCTTTATCTTCTCACTAGAAACTCTGAGAAACAGGGGTAGTATGCTTTCAACCTAGGTGAACAACTCTTATGTCCACATGGTCAGAGCCAGAATGGGGCGGTAGTTATGTACACATGATACTCTAAAATACGATGGTTAGCCAACAAAGAACATAGAAGGGGCAGTAGTCAAGAATTTGTCAAACCTTCTTCTCATCATGCTCAGTCAACAGACTTCAAAGACAAACCATTTGGGCCACATCAGTCATACATTACATTTAAGAAATTAGGCTGTTGCTTCTTGTTGCAGAAAAGGATGGTGATATTAATCTATTATTCCATCATATCTATATTCCTGCGAATGATATAAATTATAATGCTTTACTTTCATGTATCTTGATGTAGAGAAACAACATGCCTGCTGTTCGACAGTACTTGGAAACATTTGCGATCTATGTATATTTAAAGTTCCCATCACTGGTAAGAATTGTGTATTTGTGTTTCCTTATTGCTATTTCAAGCGCATACAAGCTCTAATCAAACACAAAAATTAAAAAAAATTGTTTGTTTGTTATAATTACAAGGCTAGTGGCTAGTGGTGACGGTAATGTATTCAAATAAGTTGTGTTTTGGCTTTTTTTGAAATCTGAAATATGCAAAATGCACTGTAACTCGATCTCAAACAAATGCGCAATCCTGTTTGGATTTCAGAAATATGTAAAGAAAAAACAGAAAACATAAGCATCAGCAAACAAAACATAAGTTGGACATGTTTCATTAGATTTGTATGCCCATGGCTCGTAAATCTTAACTATATCTATGGTATTCTTTTTGCAGGTTGGTGAGCAATTAGTCCCGATGGTTCGTAAATACGATATGAGAACTCAGGCAAGTATTATGATATGATATCAGATTTTTCTTTTAATTTGTTATGATCTTCTTTTTGAAGTATATAGTACTTATATGCGGCAAATTAAGCTCACACTCTAGGCTTGAACCCTGCCCTCCAAGAAGGTGAGGTTACCAGGTACCGCTGGGCCAATGGCCCTTTGGTTTGTTATGATCTTCTTGTTAATCTTATTTATCCTTTTTCTCTTTTCTTAGTACTATATTGCCCTGCCCCCTACATTCACTTAATAGACTAGAAGTTCCATCCAGTGGACTAAAAAAATGTAACCATTTTTCTATTACCATTTACTGATGACAAATTCCAATGGAAGTTTTAATTGGGTCCTTCGCAAGCATGATGCTAAATTGCTGTTGCCATGCCAAGAACCAGGCTGGATACTAAAACAATTCTTTTGGTTCGCTGGATGTTCCGGTCACAATTTGAAAACTCGGCATCAGAGGCAGACCCATAAATTTATTGAAGTGGTGGCACAATTTGACTATAAAAAATATCGACAGAAAAATTTCACAAAAGTATATATCTATTGGTTGGTTCCTTGTTCCTGCATAGAAGAGACCCATGTCCAGTCCTGTCTACATATAATTTTAACAACACGAGGTATATAAAAAGAACACCAAAATTTAAGCTAAAAAACAACAAGTTTGCTAAACAGTGGGACTCGAACCCGATCCTTTTATATAAAGACAGGAATGTTTACCATCTCTGCCATTAAAGTCTTGCGCTAACATTTCAGTTCCAAAAACTATATGGTGACACCTAACAAAACGATACGGTGGCACCCTTCTGAAACGTAATTTTTTTCCCTTTACAACGGAACCATGAAGCTCTGTATCCTTTTATGTAGGTCTGCTCCTGCTCGGCATATTCTATTTCGGGCAAAATTTGAATTGCTTCTTTATATTTCAACCTGCGAATATAATTGTAGTAATCTTTTAATTCATCTTCCACATCTTTGTGGTCGAGGTCAGGTCCTCCCACACCCCGTCTCCTGGTGGAATATACTGGGCTCTTTTGATTTGGTTTGGTTTACCTTGTTCAAGGATTATTGTAAAGTTCCATTTTGAACACAATTTACAATATGTCTCTGGTTGCAGGCTCTCTCATCGTATGTATTTATAGCAGCTAATGTCATTCTGCATGCAACTAAAAATGTTCAATCAAGACATTTGGATGAATTGCTTCCTCCCATTGTTCCACTGCTGACCTCACATCACCACAGTTTACGTGGTTTTACCCAGGTGACTATAACGAGATATAAATGTTGACCAACACAATATTGCTTTTGTCTGGTGAAACTTTCAGCATCTTCAAATACCTTATGCTTCATGAATTTGTTGTGCAGTTACTAGTATACCAAGTTCTTTCCAAATTGTTGCCTGCCCTTAATTCAGGTTCCTATGGAACAGTGTCCTTAGAGAAAAGGTGCTTTATGGAATTGAAATCGTTTTTAGAAGATAATTCCGACTGTGCACGGTATGATAGACATTCCTTTGTTCGGTTAATGCTTATGATATACCAATATAACAATATGGTCTTGCAAATTCGGTTAATGCTTCATTACAACTTCAGTATGGAACTCTGTGGTACTAAGTCGCGTATTGCGATAAAATAGTCTTTGATGTCAATTGTGGAATACTTAATCATTAGAAACATGTCATAAAGACCTTCTATAGTTACTCAAGTCCCTTGGTCAAGATTTGTTATACCTAAATGGATAAATATGCCATTGTTCCAGTACCATCTTATCTGATAGCTTTTTGGATAATGAATGTCATCAGCCTCCATAAACGTTTTGGGAATGAACGGTAGGAACTTTGATAGTTTTATGTGCTAAAAAGATCGTAATATTGTGCTTTAAAGATGGTTTTGTTTAATTTGTGTTGCAGGTTGCGAGTATCAATGGAAGTTCATCTTGATGCTTTTGATCCATACATATCCGTAACACCAGCTGGAATTTTCAGTAACCGAGTTGATGTAAGATGCTTGCACAAATTATGCATAGATCATGCCTATAGAAACTGTTGATTGTCACCAATTTCCCAAAATTTCTCTGCTCCGAAACACAAATGATGATCCATGCTAATCTGTTGGTAACAGCACTGCTTAATTTCATTCTCTTAATATTTGAATTATTTTTCCGTTTACAGGACATTGAGTTTGAATGTGCTCATGTGTCTCTCTTAGAACACGTGATCGACTTTCTAAATGTAAGTTGTAGGTTTCAAGGACCCTTTTTCTTGTCTCTAGTATGAACGAATTCTGACGTCTAGGATTGCAGGATGTCAGAAAAGACCTCAGATGCTCAATGGCCAAGGATGCAACACAACTAAAAAATGAGCAGATACATATGCAAGATTCTGAATCAATTGATCAAAGCAAAGAGGAAACGACTATGAAGATGCAGAAAGATATGTCATTAGATTTCCAGAAAAAAGTTATTGTCTCCAAACATGAGATGCAAGATTCGCATTCCAGCTCCTTAAACAGCAAAGACACTTACAATTCACTTTTGGGTATGCGTTAATGCTAGTTAGACTTGCTATTACATAAACATTATATAGGTGGCAAAATTTGAACAAATTTAGCTTTGTATTTCTATTTCTTTAAGCCACCTTTATAATGTTTGTTTTACTTTGAACAAACATTATAAAGGTGAGAAGTGATATGGAGATATAGAAACACGAGGTTAAGTTTCTTAAAATTTTGACTAGCAAGTATTCTTTTGAAACACTGCATGATGTTCATATCCGCATGCCACTGGTTACTGTAATGGATGTAATCAATAAATAAAGTTGCAACTCTTCTAAACTTCTAACTTGGTTTTTTGTTAACAACCCATTTTCTTGTGAAAATGCATAAACACTACACTATGTAATTGACAGATTTTTTGTAAATGCATGACCTTTTGACAGATTTTGAGGCATTCTTTGTGTTAGGATGAGGCATTCTTCTGTGTAGAGCTCTTCTGTTTGGTAGAGGCGTTCTTAAATTTGTCAGAAGGTCATGCATTCAAAAAATATATATAAGAATGCTATTCTCCTAAGTCCTAAATAACCTGCTAAACTGTAAAAATGAGTGATTAAGTGTAAACGCAATAATAACCACAATACTTGGCAACAAAAAAGGACGGGACTGTTAGCACCAAATAGCCAAGTATATGATGGTTCACAAAGTTTAATCAATCCAAGAAGTAGCAAACTATCCATACGAGTAATATTTTTCGGTTCCACTGCCTTTTGTTTTTCCTTACAAGACCTGACAATGCTAACTAAATTAATTTGCATTTGAGCGTAGATGTGGAGAAGGAAGACGAGCTTCTTGATCAGACACTGAGAGCAAGAAGTATTGCTATGGAAAAACTTAAAGCAGGCCGACAACAAATTATTCTTGTAGCTTCACTAATTGATCGTGTGCCTAACCTTGCTGGATTGGCAAGGACATGTGAGGTCCAAAAATATGACTGCCTTATAAGTTCTTGCTTTCTGCTATTAATTTATTTAACTTAAAGTTAGAGGAAAAAGATGGTTAAGTGACTGTTGCCAAGATTGTTTTGCAGATGCTACAATCCATGAGCTCTCATAAATGCTATGTTTGCACTTCTATGTTACTTGTAGGTCTTTAAAGCAGCAAGTTTAGTCGTTGACAATGCAAATATTTTGCAAGACAAGCAGTTCCAACTTATCAGGTTTGTTTGTGAACCTATTTGAAACTTATTTGCATGTAGTAGTTAAAGATCTTGCAACACTACAGAAAAAAAAGCCTTTTCTTGCTTAGGAATTAGCCCTAGCAAAATGGCCAATACCATAGAAAAGCACCAATTTGTGAGGGAACTTTTCCTCCCAAAAAGGCCTTGGATGGCTACTACCTACATTTGTAACCTAAATTTGCCATGAATTTAAGAAAGAATATTCAAGTAAAGTTCTTAATGTGGGAATTTAGACAGGATAAATTTCTTGTAATGGGGATATTGAAGCCCCTTTTAAGGGAGAATTGCAAGGAAACATTCCCTCACAAGGTTGTAGCTTAGGTGTACCGTGGCCATACGGGCTACGGTGTGATACCCACATTTTTTTCAGTTGTCTACCATGTTGATGATGCAAAAAACCGTCATTAGAAAGGAAACCTCCATCGTCGATGATTTTTACATGTTATATATCTTTTTGTAGTCTGGGTAGCTCCAGTTGTTGCACCGTGCTCATGAGTTAAGAGATGCAAAACATTTCTTAAATCATCTCCACCTTAGTATCTAGTCAAGATGAGGCTGTGAAAGAATTTGCCTAGGATCATGATGCTTAAATATGTTTTGTTTCAGTGTAACTGCAGAGAAATGGGTTCCCATAATAGAGGTACCTGTAAGCAATGTTAAGGGTTTCTTGGAGAAGAAGAAGCATGAGGGGTATTCTATCATGGGTTTAGAGCAAACTGCAAACAGTGTTGCTCTTGATCAATATGTCTTTCCCAGAAAGACGGTAAACAGAACTATCTTGTTCATTTTATTTTCTAATTCTCGTGGTATTAATTCCCTATCGAACGAATAAGTTGTAAATCATTGAAATTGTTATTTTGCAATATTTGAGAATCTTGGAATTACTCTAATCATCAGAACTTGCTAAGAATAGCCTAGAAGTCACTAGTTCAAATTTTGCAATTGTGTAATTTTCATAAGATTTTCTTATATTTTATCGTTATTGAAGGGTATTTTGGACATTTTGTCATACCCTTCTATTCTACTATAAATATAAGATTCTTAAAATTTTATTGGACGGATCATAAACTTTCTTGAGCTAATTTCTCTCTTATCAATCAGCAGTAACATATGATCTCTTGAATCCTACAGGTTCTGGTTCTTGGTCGAGAAAAGGAGGGTATTCCGGTAGAGTTGATTCATATGCTGGATGCTTGCATCGAAATCCCCCAGTTAGGCGTTGTAAGATCGCTCAACGTCCATGTCAGCGGTGCCATCGCCCTCTGGGAGTATACTCGGCAGCAAAGATCATCATGATACAACTGTTACTGAAATTCGATAAAAAAGAAACAGTTTTTGATGCAAAGAAATAGATTAATTGGTATTGCCTGTCACAGAGCATGATGATGGAAACACATTCATGGGCAAATTATTACATCTTCTTTATGAAGATTACAGTTGTGGATAGCCTGAATTGAAATTGTCACATTAATGATGGATCTACCTATATTTTTGTATTGTTGCCATCACTCTTGAGAGAAATGTATTTGTATTCTTCTTCTTCTTGTCTTTGTTGAACTTGAACATTTTTGGAGTTAAGGAATTCCATTGGAAGCAAGCCTGATGCATCTTCACCTTTTGCTCTTTTTGATTGTGAATTATCTACCAAAGTAAAGATCATATCTAAATTACAAAACTAACCCCTTCAAGCATTATTGCAGGAAGATGAAGATGAAGAAAGATCAAGTAAGAGAAGATATGAGCTGTGGCAGTTTTCACTTTCTGGTAAGCAAGCTGTTGGTTGAAAAGCTAGTTGTCGAATAATAGTTGATAACTTAGATGACAATGTAAATGACCTTAAAAGACATGTTGGAAAATTAGTCAATTCTAACATACGAGGGGCATAATTAGAAAGAAAAAAGAAGTGAAAAGACCCAGGAGCTTTTTGAAAAGCTGTATGAAGTAGCTTTGCAAAAAAAACTAGTGTATGAGCTAATTTATAGATTATGAAACGGGATATTTTTTTTCAATGAACTTAAAAATAAGCTAGCTTATGATTGTCAAGTATAACTGTAGTATGCTTTCTGTACATAAACCTTTGAAGCTTGTTCAAAGATTTGATGGATTTCACTGATTTTGGTTTCTTTTTGAAAATAAGTTTTGATTGATGAGTCACCTGAGCAGGAGGTTGTTGCTGATCCCTTTTTGTGGAAGCTACTACTAAAGGCTTTGGTTGATGGGATTTTGCAAAATCTCGAAGGCGGTTGGAGTAGCTAAGAAGCTCAGATCTCCTATTATACCCTCCACCGTTCTTTGACCGGTCAATCTGGAAGTGGTGGTGGTGGTGGTGGTGGTGGTGATGGTGGTGATGCTGGTGGTTCTCATGCTGATTATTCTTATTAGTTCTTGACGATCCTCTCTTTGTTGGCTTCTCCACATAAACTGCTACCAACACAGGCTTCTTCTTGAAGCATGATGCCTGCAATTCCAGTTTAGACACTCAGAGAGAGAATGATATACAGAGAGAAAGAGTGAGAGATGTACCATATTGCTTCACCCTTTCTAAGCAAAAAAGATTGATATATATATATATATATATATAGAGAGAGAGAGAGAGAGAGAGAGAGAGAGAGAGTGTATGTGAATGAATGCAATGCAGGCCAAGAAAGGCAAGGTTGCATGAAATCTTTGGATTGACCGATAGGGAAACAATGCAAATAACGTCCAAAGAAGTTATCAACATATTGAAAGCTATGTTGGGAGCACCATTTACTTTAACAACACATGTTCAAAGTACAAACATTTATTTGGTTAAATATGAAGGTGGAGGTTCAAACGAGAACAACTTCATTTTACGAGAACGCGTGAACATTCTTATCCCATGTGATAATATGCATGAGGGGACCTGGTGATATGCGGAAGACGTGTTCTACGACTTAGGTCGCACCAAAGGTTGTCTACGTCTATGATTTAGCATCATATGTGATGGTTTTGATGGATTATAATATCATATGAACACCCTTATCACATGTGAGGGGGCTTAGTGGTGTAAGGGTGACTTGGCCTGTAACCAAGATCGCACCAAAAATCGTCCGCATTTCTGATTTAGGATCACATGTGTATCATATGTGATGGAATAATAGTATCACATATGATTGTCTATGATAAAATGGTGTTCTAGAGTTCTCGTAAAATAAAGGTGTTCTCATTTGAACCCTTACCTAAATATGAAATGGACATGAATTGAACTGGGCAATAATTTGAAGGGACTGTTTACTTTAGATGAGCTTAGTGGTCTAGGTAGCTTATTCGTTAAGCCAAAATGGCTATGCGGAATAGGCCAGGATCCGTCATTTGTCACCATTAAGCCATCTTAAACAAATTTAATATCCCAGAAGTAATCCAACCCTCTCTTTTTACTTCATTCAAATGCATCAGTCTCCTATCTGAGTTCCTTAAACAAACAAATTTACTAAATAGATAACTTAACTCATACAAGGTTTAATGAAAAAGGTAAACAACCTTCAAGTCCTAAACGAATTATGAAATGGATTATCGACTCACTTGAGAATCAGTTGATTTGTATGAAAATCAGTTGAATCGCTTGAAAATCATGAAAATTGGATACATGTGTTTCTTGCTTTGCTATAACTTTTCTTAATGAGTTATGACGGTGAAAAATAATATTTTATACAGTACGAACCCACAACCTAGTGAATGGCAGTTGTCATTCTTTAACCTTCATCGTAAATATGTTCATTACAACTTAATGAACAAGTTTGTTAGCTAGTTCGTACTAAAATCATACCATTTGTTACCAGGATTTCAAAATCCGTGATACGAAAAAAAGACAGAGATGTGATTGTGAGACCGTATTATTATTTCTGTAACTGTTTGTAAAAAGTTTCTGTAAATATTTCGGAAATAACTTGTAGATACATCGTAAACAGTTTGTATCATTTCATAAACAATCCATAAATGCATCATAAACGCTTTGTAACAATTTGCATATAGTTCCATCAAAAATTTGTAACAGTGATGGCATGATTCACATGTGAATCATGCTATAAAGCTTGTTCAATTTACCTTTTCACTATAAGAGTTCCATCTGTGAACAAGAAATTACACCACAAATTAGATCATTCAACCACATTTCAACACGGGTCTTTACGAAAACAATCTCTACTTTTTTTTCCGTAAAGACGCATCTTACTTTTCAGTTTTGTCTGAACGATTACTATGAGATAGAGCACGAAAAATAGATTTTGGCTGATTCAACTAATAAGACATTGGAACAACTACAAGATTACAAAACGTAAAACTATAAATTCTGAACCGATAACCATGTTGAGAAACAACAACTGTTACGTAAATAAGACATCTGGTTATTTTTTGCAAACTAGCTGTTACGTTAGTTGTTAGCTGATAAGTTTGGCAATAAACTGAAAAACTAGTCGACAAGTTTGACGACAACGTAAACAGGTCTACGATTCAAAGACTAGTTTATTACTTGTCAAAGGAGACTTTCATGTTTATAGAACTTGAGATGTGATCCAAATTTCTAACAAATTAAACCTGCACAATTCAACTTTAAAAAGGCAGAAATCTTGATTCTTGACCAACAAATTTGGATCATTTTCTTGAAACGAAAGGCTCGGAGGCTTGTTTTATCGATCATTCTTTCTTCTGCTCCTGCCAAGTCGCTTGCCACTGTTTGTCGTAATACGTAGTCTCTTCAACCAGTTTTTTCAAATTATCCAAATCTTCGTTCTTTCGAATAAGCAAAACACCAGAAACTGCTACAAAAAGAAGTGTTTTACATAAGAAATTCCCCGTTTGATCAACTAGACCAACCCCAGTTAAGCTATCAACAAAGTAAGCCATGAAGAACCCTATCATCGCAGCCCGACCTGCACAAAAATGATCAAAAATAACAGTAAGATCAAGGTTGATCAAATTTGGTTAATTTTGTTGTTTTCGGTTTTGAATAAAAGAGAAATGATGAGCAAACCATTGAGTAGTTCAGCTTCAGGGAGATGAAACCTCTTCATCCATGCCCACCAAGGAATAATGGAGGTGTCGAAAACTACAGGGAAGTCGTTATTGGACGATTCGGGGTTGATTTCGAGCCATTTCCTCCTTTTAACCTCTGTAAAATGTTCACAAGAGTTAGCTACTGTTTGCTTTTCTAAGAGGTGTCGAACTCTTAAGTTTTATTTCACTTCTTATAAACAGAATCAATAAGACTCTTTGTTTTTGTAACCCTTAAACCCTAAACCACAAGGGTGGTGCCCGGTTGGTTTGAACTTGGCTTTACTTGTCAAAAGTACCAGAAGATCCCAGGTCAAATCCAAAAGGTCCCAGGTCAAATCCAAGAAATCCCAGATCAGATCTGAGGAATAAAAATCCCTTGTAGCCAGGCTCTTTACAAAACAGATGGTCGCAGGCTAGCATAGTTGGTTGGAGTTAATAAAAAAAACAGAAATGCCACACAGTTTCCCACATAATCAAATTAACAATTCAATAAAAAATATTGGCAAAATTAGGTTTACAGAAAATGGAATTATAACTTTTTAGACACACTCGAAGAAGAAGCTCACCAGCATCAATAACAGCATCCCAATCAGTAGCTCCACCGTTCTGAAACTGCTTCAAATCCCAAGTCCCAGAAACCCATTTGGGATCTTCGAATTTCACCGCCGCATCCTCCAGGGAAGCCGCCGTTGGACCTCCGTTTCCGAGCGGATCCTCCTCTGGTTCAGAGTCTTTCTTCTCGTTTTCAACAATGGCGAATCCAGACCCATTTTCAATAGCTCTAACTGAGACGAAAAGGAGGTCTCTTTTGGGGTTTAGAGAGAGAAATGAGTGGATTGGGAGATGGGTCTTGGAGTAAGGAGAGAGAGAAGGAAAATGTGGTGTTGAAGAGTACAACGCCATTGATGACATAGAAGAAAGCTCAGAGGAGAATGGTCTGAACCGCGAGGGTGAGAGTGGAAGAAGGTGAATTTGGAGAAAAGGCCTGAATAAAGGATGGAGTTTGAGCTGAACACAGAAGTAAATTGTACAAAGTAACTTGCGGGTGTTCTGATTGTTTATAAAAATAATTTATTGACTTATTTTAATATGACATCGAAAATAAACACTTTTGAGTATTTAAATAAATAATTTATATCGGTATCAAACCAGTAATATGAAGTTTTTGAAAAAGTTAAACTCTTTTGACTTATAATAAATTGATAAGTATTTTTGTAGAATAACATTGTTTCAAATAAACAACCTCAAACACCCCAATAAAATATTCAAGCTTTTAGCGAAAATCCAACAAAACTTCTATGCTAAAAAACGATCCCTCACATTATTTAAATAAATAAATTCTTACCAATTTTATTTATTTATTTATTTATTATTAAATCAGTATAAAAATACAACAAACTAATAAAAGAAATACTATTTTTATTATCCCATTGTTTATTTTTCATATTAAATGATAATGTTTGTTATGATCATGTAATTGTCATTTGAATTTGAAAAATAAATAATTACTAAATCAGTTTTACCATCGCTATCGCCATCCTTGGCCGCCCCATCATCGTGCACTCTCCATCATTGTTCATCGTCACTTTTGGATCCTGTCATCGATCTGCTTTTTTTTTTATCTTTTTGTTTTGTTTTTTGATTTTTCCTCCTTTTTATTTGTCTATATGTAATCCATTAAATTGTTGAAAGAAACGAGAATCAAAAGATCAAAAACATATCAAAAAGAGAGAGATTTATGGCATTAGAAGGGACGAGATGGGGTGTTGAGAGCGATGTTGTATAGTGCGAGGGTTTGTCTTGTTCTTGGAATGACAATGACTAACACAGTAGTGTTCTTCACATAGTTGATGCAGATTTTGAAAATTCCTATCCAAACTAGCGACACGGAAGACATTTTATAGTCATCAATGTATTAAATGTTGTTGTCCAACTTTAATACGTTTATTTATCTAATTTGTTGATCAGCACATGCGTGTACTCCTCATTTTAGTCTTTGAAGTTATGTAGACATTTGTTAACCTTACCCATCCTTCTATATGTAGAGGGAACAGTAAAGAATGTATGCTACTAATAACATAGTACTTTAGAACTTACTTTGTCTGACATGCCAAACATGTTCACATACCAGAACAAGAATTGGTAGAGTTTGTGAGTCAAACTTGCTCGATAGGTTTATACTCCAAAATCAACTTCCCAAAAGTAGTATTTGTCAGACTAAGTTTGACTTTATTTTGTATTGATCTTATTTTGACTAGATAACAATCTAATCCACTTTGGTAAACTACCTTGGCCTCTATTTAACTACTCTTCATTTTTGTTAAAGCTTTTTGTCCTTGGATCAATACAAATAACTATAAGACTTTTACAAAGAAAAAATCTTACATATTTTTCTTTCCGAAACATAAGTTGCATATCATATTCCAACAAGACTACTTATGAAGTGTAAGATTCAGATGCTATAAAACACTTAGGGGCCATTTACCAAATGCTTACCCGGGTAAACGCTTACCAAGTAACATTATCTCACCGGATGAATATCTTAAGGACCAATAATCTTACCAGGTAAGAGCGAGACAAGGAACAAGAGTCTTACACGGTAAGTAAGGGCGTCGACTTTCACCACGGTAAGCGCTTACCGGGTATTTTGTTGTATATGATGTCGTTTTGGTGGACTAAAATCTTACCCGATAAGTAAATAATAGTGTTAAATTTTACCGGTAAGCACTTACAGGGTAAGTGTTTGGTAAACGACCCCTTAGACTATTTTCGCTTTTGGGAACTAAGATTGGATGATGGATTTGAAATAGTTTTATTGTAGATATAATGTTTTTTAAAGAATTTTTAAATTTATTTCTACTATCACTTAAAATTAATTATAGATCATAGTTTTTTTTAATTCCATTTTGATAGAATTTTACAGTGTAAAATATTCAAATTGGGTGGGGTCTTTACGCACCACGCATTAGCCGATGCGTAAGATACAGCCGCCGCCAACAGGTGTCGCATCAAGGTGGTCAAATCATTTTCTTTTTGCATTTTAGTACCTGTATGCATGATTGATGGTTAAAACTTGATAAAGGTAAAAGTTAAGGTTAATTTTGTAGTTTTTGTTTTTTCTTGTTAGCCGATGCGTAAGATACAGCCGCCGCCAACAGGTGTCGCATCAAGGTGGTCAAATCATTTTCTTTTTGCATTTTAGTACCTGTATGCATGATTGATGGTTAAAACTTGATAAAGGTAAAAGTTAAGGTTAATTTTGTAGTTTTTGTTTTTTCTTGGCTATTACGTCAAAAACTCTATTAGTTTGTGTATCCCACATCAATGTGGAGATGATAATTTGATAGGGGGGAGGGGGGAAGTAAATGAAAAAGTAGGATGCCTTACAAACATTAAACGGTTTGTGGCAAGATAAAGAGTTGGTTCTATTTGACCAACTCACTTTTCATAAATGAAAAAACAAATTTTTGTTCTCAATTTATTTTAGGAACTTAGGGCCTCGTCTAGTGAATGAATGAAAGAGATAAGAGAAATACGGGTTATAAAGAAAATGCCAAAAATAGAACAAAAACATATCACTTTTGTTTACAAAAAAAATAGCCAAAATGTTTTAAAGCTATATATATTACAGTAACAACCAAAATAAGACGTTCAAGGTCAGTTGACTAAATATGCGTTTTTAGCCAACTTTCCTTTCGTAAAAGTTTTATCTTCTAACAAAAAAATTATCGCCACCATGCAACGCGCGATGCACAACACTAGTTCATATAATTTATACATTTATAATTATGCCTATGGTTTGTGTTACATCAATTGATAAAAATAATTATTAATTAAATTAAAACTAAATTTTATTTTATTTTATTTTGGTGCATTTTTTTCCATGAATAACTATTACGTTTTGATGATTGACGAGGACAACGACATTGAATGTTATACATATTTATGATATTGGAGCGACTTTTGAACTTAAGAACGCAAATTTCCCTAACTATATAATCCCTTGTACAGATGATAAAAAAACCAGTACCACATCAAAGATGGCTTGTAAGTTGTAACTGAGTCGACCGATCTCGGCCTAAAATAGTAGGATTCATCCTGGGCTCGATAATCAATCCTGATCCTTCTTAATCAGTCTCAAATCCAATCTCAACCTGTTTCAAAATAAGATTAATATTTTTTTACATAAAATTGTTATACAAATTTTCACAATTATGATTTTTAAAATTCAATATTGAAATACACTTTAATTATTACATTACTTGAAAAATCTTAGAAAAACTTGTATTATAATTTCTATATCTTTAAATATTACATTTATGTGAACAAAATTAATTGATGTATAACCGGTCTCAAGTTGAACCTGAAAAAATTTCTAGAAAAATGTAACCGGTCTTGACTTAACCAGTCTCTATTGATCCCGGTTTGTCTTGATTCCGATCTTTTGTGCGGCTCAAACCGTGTTTGACCATCTCTATTCCTAAGTCCTAACCATAGATTAATTGTTGATAAAAGACAAGTATATCTTGAACCATTTCTCTCGGCCCAAGTACCACACAACCCACATTTTATGAACCCCAATCGAAATTATGATTAGGTTTTGTTGATTTAAGAGTGGATTACGCTGGTAGTACTGTGGTTTGTTCAAATTTGGGATTTGGTTCCTACAGCAAACTATTTACATTGGTGGTCACTAACTTTTTGTTTTCATAACATCCATGGTCCATCCACCTAACGACGTTAGTTAACAATAATGAAGGACTAATCGAACTATAGGACCAAAAGTGTAATCTGTTTTAAAATTTAATGTGATACATGTTCTCTTTTTAATTTTTTATTAAAAAGATTTTATTATTAAAATCACAAATCAAATTTCTTAAAATAAATTACATATTAACAAAAATCCTTATATTTATTCAAAAACTATTATATTTACAAAAGAATTAGCGTTAAAAAATCTCAAGTTTAAAAAAATAAATCAAGATAATGTCATATGTCTTTTGGGTTCAGAATTGAAATATGCGAGCAAAATATTAAAAATTTAGTTCGATTAACGTAAGATTATTAATATATAGTCAAAGTACAAATAATTAAAATTACAACAAAATAAAAATTATAAATTAAGATAAAAAAACATTGATTATTCAAACAGTTAAGAAAAACCATCACTAAAACAAGTAAATATAAATATTTTTATTTAATATATATTTTATTTTAAGATATTTGATTTGTGTTGGATATATAAAATATTTTCTAATAAAAATTAAAGAACCGTGAATCACATTAAATTTTAGACTATATTACACTTCTGGTCGCTATATTTTGTTCAAAGACCGATTAGTCCTTTATAACAATTGCTAACTAACGTGGAGAAACTATGGATGATATGAAAATAAACAGTTAGGGCCACCAATATAAATAGCTTGTTTTAGGGATCAAATCCAGAATTTAAGCAAACTACAAGGACCACCGGTGTAATTCACTCTTGATTTAAGGATTAAATTTTATTTGATCGCGTAGGATCCATTAATTGTACAAATCCAACCGACCTAATAATATTTTAGTTCTGCAATAAATAATTTGCATAAAAAGTTGATTACTAGCAATTAGGTTCGTTTTCTCGCATTTTATATGTCATAGACGAGATCTAAAAAGGGGTCATCGATAGTGTAAAAGATCTTCAATATTTTGTTTTTGTTATCATAAATTACATTAAATTCAAAAAATACTAATAATTCATATAAAAAATCGTTTTACCGAGAATTCCTAGACGCAAAATCAATCAATAATTAACTTTAAATTAATATCATCTATCATATCATTTTTACATAGGATCGCCAACCGTCCCACCACCAAAAAAATCATATGATACTATATCTTTAATGTAACAACCGCATTTTACCATGAAAAATGTTACGTACTCTAAAACAGATTCTCCAAAAACACTCCAAAATGATGGTTGAATTAAAACTTTAGGCGTTTATAGCGGAAGACTTTAAAA